CGAGGATTAAAAAAAATCCCCACCCTTCTCTCAAAAAAAAAAAAAACCAAAAAAACCCGGTCCCCCTTTCCCTGCTGTCCCGATCCAGCCGTGGGTGTTTGGGGAAGCTCCCGACTGCCTCTCGACCCCGCGGGTGACGCGTGGGAAGGGCACGGGAGGCAGAGGGGAGGGAAAAGTGGGAAGCGTTACAAGCGGGACACGGAGCGAAAAGGACGGGCGGGGAAGGTAAGAGGGTGAAACCTCCCCCCCCTAAATGGCAACTCAGGAGGTCGTGGGGTTGATTTTGGCTTTTTTTAAAGCATCTCCCATCTCTCTCCCTCTTCCCTCGGGCACAAACACCTCTGAGATATCCCCCAAAAGCTCCCGGACGCTCCGGCAGCCTGGGGTGCTCAACCACGGCTCCCTCCCTTTCTCCCTCTCTCTCTCTCTCTCTCCCTTTTTTTCTTTTCCTTTTTTTTTTTTTTTTTTATGGGATATTTACATGTTTACAGCCTTTTCTTTTAAAAGAAGCAGCACCACCAGCTCATAAACCATTCGGGATTTCGGTGCTACCCCTAGCGGTCTGGGCACACATAGACGCGCCGAGCCCGGCAATGACACCCCCTCCCCCTCATGAGAAACCCCCCCAAACCTGCAAGTTTGGAGGCTCAAAAGACAACAAACACGAGCAGACCTTCCCCCCCCAAAACCCTCCTTACCACCGGTGCCTAAAGTGCCGCCTGGATTCAGGGGGGACACCAAACCCCCCGCTTCTCCCGCCGTGCCTTTATTCCCTTCATTGAGCAAGGAAGAACCGGAGTCCGACTCCAAGGACTGGCAGGACGGAGGGTCGTGGGGAGGAGGAGGAGGAGCCGCCGCCTCGGCGCTGGGATAATCGTATTTGCCGAAATTCCCCCCCATGCCAGCGGGGAGGCCGGCTTCGAGGGGCAGCAAGGCGCTGGCCCCGCCACTGTCCCTGCCCCTCTCCTCCCTCTTGAGCCCGCCGCCGTCGCCGCAGCTCTCCCGGTAGTAACATTTGCTCTCCTCCACCCGCGCGAGGTCGCAGGCTCTGCCGAAGGAAGGGTTAATGGAGACGGGGCTGCCCAGGTAGGGTTGCGGGTACCCGTTGCAGGGTTCCGTCGATGCCCAGGGCAAGGAGCAGACGTTCTCCCGCCGGGGGTACGAGAGGGACGGCAAACCGGGCAGCTGCCCTCCGGAGGCGCGGAAATTGGGGAAGTAGAAGGTGTCTCCCGTGTGGATGTTCACCAGAGGTCCCACAAAGCCGGGATTCAGGAGGTTGTGCTCGCCCATTTCCGCGGGCCTGACCGAAAGCTTCTACTTTATTGCTATCTGACATTAAACATAGTTAAACCGACGGCTCGTGCCCATTGGTCCGGGGGGGGGGTCACGTGAGCCCCCAAATTACGCTGGGAGGAGGGGGGGGGGGGAGACCCTCCCCTCCCCTGGCAGACGAGACAAAACACAACAGCGAGTTCCGCCTTTTTACGCCTTTTTT